CTGTACTTTTCCAGTCTTGTGGGAGGTCACCCACAGAACTTGGGTATCACAGAAGAAGGAAGCTCCATTTAGACATGAGCTTCAGCTGTCTATGTGAGGCAGGGTCACTCTGCTCTTGTGAGACATGTGTATACAAATGTTCACAGAGAGCAAAAAAATTACAAAAAAGCAGAAGATAAAATGGAGAGAAAGACGATGAAACCAGTAAGATTCGTTTAAAGCCACAAAATCGAAGTGAATAAACAGACCAAAGTCTTCAGGCAGCATTAGAATCGCTAAAAATGGCTAACACAGTGCAGTAACGGTAACAGAACCAGTGTTCATTACAGGGACAAAAACAGCATCAGGTTCACAGGCTGAGGCCCCCAGTTGGATGTCCCTTGTGCACATCTTTGAATAACAGCACACACTTTCAGCTTCACGCCAGAAACATGCACATGGGAACAGGAAATTCTTACTCAGTCTGGAAATAAGCAGGCTGCTGGCCAAATGCAAGTGCAAATAAATAGCATTTTACAGGACCCTCTCTTCCCCAGTTTAGCAAAGCAATCTGGTTTGGCCAAGTAATTTGGAATTGCTCTGCTAAACCCATTGCACTGCAGTAGTTTGAGAAGCTTCATATAACAAGAGCATTAAGATGCATGAAGCTAATAAACTTCCACAGTCAACTCTCCAGGATGCATGTTAAGTTTGCAGAGAAATTTGCGGCTACTTCCCAAATCATATTTTTAGATATACGCTAACCTCCTATAATCCCTCCCATCCATAACTGGTTCCAAAGTGCTGATTGCAACATTGACCATTGGAAATTGAAACTAAGGAAATTCCTTAATCTTTTCCATGTTATTTTAAAATCAACATTTCACCGGGAGAAGTGGGGGTGGGAGTGAGCGTGGGAGCGTGGGGTGTGAGTTGCTGGGATGGAGTGGGGATAAGCTGCATTAGTGAAATAGTTTTACAAATGAGACAGGAGAACTCAATCACTTTACATGTATTTTAAAAATTGAGGTATAAATCACATACCGTAAAAGTCACCATTTTAAAGTTCACACTTCAGTGGTTTTTCGTATACTCACAAATGCCTCTTATAAAATATAAATATATATTTATAAAAGATATTTGTGGAGCCTCTCTTTCAAGTCAATCCACCATTTTTGTTCCGGCAAATAACTACATACTCATAGCTATATTTAAAAGCAAGCAAAAACCAAAAAGAAGAAAAAGATGGAGGAGGAGGAGGAGGAGGAAAAAGCCTGGAACAACAAAAAAAAAGGAAAAACACAAGACCTTAAATGGAAATGAAAGGCAAAATAAATAAGCCTCTCTTAGCTGTGCATTTTGTAAGATAATGAGTGGCAAATGTACACACAATTCTTTCAGGTAGTCGTTTGTTGGTCTGCACTATTTCTCTACCTTGTATCTCTAGCATTTACCTATTACAAAGCAGCACCAAGGATCCATAGCTTTCCAAACAGAGGAATTCATTCTAAAGACAACAGCAACAAATGAATAAAATTCCCAGCGTTTTCCATAGGATTCTAAGCCTTAATCCCCAAAAGAGACACAGTGGAGCTGCCCAGGTTATAGCAAGAACAAAAAACTAGAGCTCAACCATTGGAGCCTGTGGGGTCTCAGAACAGGGTCTGAAAACGACTAATTTTATTAAATCTTTTCCTTTTATTGATAAAACTCCCAAAGCTAATTTACTAAGATCTACAGAAGGTTGAGACTATAATCCAGTTCTCCTAACTACCTATCCCAAGCTCATTTCTCCACAGACTGCACCTCTTCCACATTGGCCAGGCATCCATTTTTCCTTTGGGTAAATTTAATGACTCAGATATTAGGAAAAGATAAATCTTTTTTTTTTAAATCAGGAGTCTTCATTACCTACCACCTAATACAACCAGTGATAAAAATTTATTAATTTTCGTATGCAAATATGGACCTGAAGACATACACATACACATTTGTGCAATTTCCTACCTGGTTATTTTCTGCTTAGTATTTCTTGTAAGCATTTTCCCTAGTTCTTCAACTTTCTTAAAAAAATGGAGTTTTAATGGCTGATCAGTTGCTTCATTGAGACCTATCATCTTTTATATAACTAATCTTCTAAAATTAAATTAGGTTTTTGGTCATTTCCAATATTTTACTATGATAAAGGTTCAGTGGGTATCACTGTACACAAATCTTTGTATACTTCTGTGATTATTTCTTTATGATAAATTCCTAAGAATAAAAATACTAGGTCAAAAGATGTGAGCAAGTCTCAATAAATAGCTGCCAAATTGCCTCTAGGTGAGATGTATTACAAGCAGTATAATAGGATCTTGTTTAAGCTCAATCTTGCCATATTATTTTTCTTTTCCAATTTGCTTGGCAAAAACTAGTATCTTCAAGTTCACTAGTGAATTTTTCATTATCCATTAAGTTTAAAAAGCATTTGAGAACCAAATATATACTACTATACAACTCAGCAACATTATTCTTAGGTATTTACTCCAGAGAAAGGGAAATATGTTTACAAAGACTGTATAGGTCCAAAGTGAGAACAACCTAAATGTCCATCAGCTGATAAATGGGATAAGCAATGTGCGGTACATCCATACTATGGAATACTATCAGGTAATAAAAAAAAATGAAATATTATTATGTGAAACAACATGGATGAACACCAAAGACATTATGCTAAGTGAAAGGAGTCAGACACAAAAGACTACATGCTATATTGTGGTTCCAACTTTACATGAAATTCTAAAAATCCAAAACGATAGTAACAGAAAGTAGGTCATTGATTATCTGTGGCCAATGGGCAGGGAAGAGAATCTACTGAAAAGAAGCATAAAAATATTTTTTAGGGTAATAGAACTTTATATAGATTGTGATAGTCATTACACAGCTACAAATAATTATAAAAATTCTTCAAACTTTATACTTGAAATAGGTAGATTTTATTGTGTGTACAGCACACCTCAATAAAGCTGGAAAAAATAAACACATAAGCAAAGATTACTTATGAAATTTTTTGAGAGAAATTAAATTATTTTCATTTTTGCATACTTCCTTTAAATTTTTGGCTATATTCATACTCCATTTAGTTATAATTATAGAATATATGTAAATTTATATTTGAGACATTTTTATCCACAATTTTACATATTTCTGTATAGTTTTCATAATTATAATTTAAAATAGTTATACGTAATTTCCCAAAGCCCCAAACCATTTCCCTACTGTTAACAGGTGAATTGTTAAATTTTAAAATGGATGATTCCTAAAAAAAAAAAAAAAAAAAAAAAGGAAAAAGAAATAAAGCAGAGGATTCCTTTTCAATATTTGGATGCCACCAAGTGGACAAACTGTGCAATGTTACTGAGATTGAGCAGACCAATTTATAAATTTTATAAACAAAATAATTTAATGTTTAGTTTTCTAATTTAAAAATATTTTTTAAGTTAAATAAATCACAAAAATTAAAACAGACCATTTTACAGTTTACTAGACCATGATTCTCATCTATCTCTTTTAGTTATTTAATTCTCAAATCTCAAGCTAGGGAATTCAGTTAAGGACAAGAACTTCCTATGGAAACTTAGTTCTTTACAACCTTAAACCACGGGTGTAACTGTTAGGAATGAGTCTACCATAAGCCTCAAACTAAAAAATCTTGTACAGATCTCCAAATGCAAATAGCCCTTGTTGTCAGCCAAGTGACTGCTAACAAAACAATACGCTCTGCCAGGAGGCACAATGAAATCAGCGATGAAAAGTTGGTGAAGACTGGAAGGCAAAGAAAGATACCAGAAAACTCACTCCCTTTTGGGCAAAGACTTGCTGATTCTCTTTATGAGTCACCGGGATTTTCTCTCTCTGGTCCCTGGCCTCTCCAATTCAGGCTTTTCCTGTTGCATTGAAACAGCAACTGGCTAGAGGTACAAAATGATTATTTCAGGGAAGTGTTTGGTCCCTGCTGGTGTCGACAAAAGAATGACTTTTTCAAAGGAATGCCTTTGAGTGACACTGAGCCATTGCCTACCACCAAGCAGAGAGGTGAACATGCTGCTCGGCCTGTGATCCAACACGGCTCCCAATTATTTTTTCTGGCACTCTTTAACCCTCTCCATCTTGCTGCTGATCTCCATAAAGTGAAAAGGAATAGTGCCACTCCAAAGAACTTTTTTTTTTTATGTTTTTTATTTATTTCTAGGAGAGAGAGAGAGACAGCGTGAACAGGGGAGGGTCAGAGAGAGGGAGTCACAGACTGAAACAGGCTCCAGGCTCCGAGCTGGCAGTCAGCACAGAGCCCGACGCGGGGCTCGAACCCACGAACCGCGAGATCATGACCTAAGCGAAAGTCGGACGCTTAACCGACTAAGCCACCCAAGCGCCCCTCCAAAGAACTTTTAAAGGGATGCCATAAACCCACTAAATGAGAAACCAGTGACAGAAAGAAAATACAAGCTCACTGAGACCTAACTATGGATTTATTGCGGTAAATTAGAGAGGCTTGTTTCTAATTGCTGAAATGTTTGCTTGTTTTCATTTTAATTATTTCTTACAGAAAATACATTATTTCAAAACAAATTCAAAAGGTTCAAAATGGTAAACAATGAAAAGTCTTCTTTCAATGTCTTCCCTGGCTGACCAGCCCCATTCCAGGAGGCCACCATTAACCATTTCTTGTGAATCTTTACATAAATATCGTATATGTAGAAGAACAGTTACATATATACATTCTCCCCATATAGACATTCAGTCCTATCTCCCTTTTCTTTTTGCACAAATGGTGAACCACTGTACACAGTGATGCTTTTCACTTAAGAGGACAATAGATTGTGGCATTCATACCAAATCAATACGTAGAGTTTCTCATTGAATTTAAAGCTGTATCCTATTCTATCACATGGATGTACCATAATATATTCATGGAATTCCATACTAAAATGAAAGTTTAGCTTGTTTCCAAACTTGTGCTATTTTCATTATTATCTTCTTACCAGAAATTCTCTGGGCAAATTTGATTGCTTCTTCAACCGGGTCTGAGTTCACAATTTCATCTAGAATGCCCAGCTTGAGTGCTTCATCTGCCAAAATTTGTCTTCCTAGAACAAAACAAAATAAACCCAGAGAACGATGTGAAATTAAAGTAAAAGCATTACTCTCTCTGGTAAGGAAGGTTATCTGTCCTGGATACAAACATCTATTAATAAATGAAATTAGTAAGCAACACAGAAGAAAGTAGTAGACGGGCCACTGCAGAGGTAACTTAGTTCAAGCTTCAGCTCTACCTCCTACTATTTGTGTGATGATGAAGAATTGTACAGGAGGGACCACACCCTCCTCCTAGGTAAATGGGAATAATTGTGCTTACCTTGGTAATTCTGAGTATCAAGTGAGAATAATACATTTTCTTTATAGTCTGGAAGTCTCTATAGAAGCAATTTGTTAACTATAAATCTCTATATAAAAGACGATTGATTTTTTTGCTAATAATAATAGAGGTAGTAACAGCAAAGCAGTAGCAGTATCTATCTTACACCAACATACATACCAACACTGATTACAAAAAACAAAACAAAACAAAAACAAAAAGATGACATCCTGAAACATAAATATAGTTGGGGAAATGGGGAAACTGATGATTAAGTTGACATTATTTAAGTTATAATCAAAATTACACAGGACAAATGGCTGGGCTTCTGTCATTTTTTGCCTACCCGGCATCTCAACCCTACCCTAACTTGTGGAATTGCTATTGTGTGAGCTTTGGACCCTGCGTTTTATTGCAGAAGCTAAAAAGGAAGCACAAGTGATCAGACAATTGTTCCTTCAGGTCCATGCAGTTAGGGTGTGGCCCATGACCCCAAGTTTGGCGAAAGGAGTGCTCCATAGAGGGTTTTTAGCCTGGAGTAATGAGACTAAGCAGCAGATAGCAACATCTAGCATCTAGTGGTGGTACTGGCAGCGTCCAGTATAGGATGGCAGCTTTAGGGTGTTAAAAAGTTTGATGACAAAAACTGAGGACTGATGGATGTGGGGGGGAGGGGGGGATGGGCATGGAGGAGAGCACTTGTGGGGATGAGCACTGGGTGTTATGTGGAAACTAATTTGACAATAAACTATTTGTAAAAAAAAAAAAA